GGGGGGGGCCGGTACAGACTATTTGAGTATCCGTGTATAACGATATTGCTATCGTCCGGCTTACTCAGTCTGAGAGGGCAGTGCTGGATATAGTTCGGAAATCGATGTCCGTATATAACGATAGTATCTATCGTCCGGCTCACCGATAACCTCACTCAGCGGGGATAATGTCTTCTTCTGCACTGTTTCTGACCTATACTTCTAGTATTCCTGACCCTCAGGTGGTATGTGAAGTCTTAAACCGTTTTTTGAATATTAGGGTAAGTTGTACGTAACTTAAAACCCATTAAAATTCAGTTTCCGATAGTTTACGGTGTTCCGATTCTAAGGACATCTTTAAAAGGGTTTTAAGTTACGGGGTTCCATCTCAAAACCATTTTACTCTCTTGGGCGGCGGGTCGTCGCAACGGAGATTGAGATTTGCGCTCTCTGTGAGACGATGTGTCCCTATTCCGCAGTACAGCTGCGACATTGCTACACGAGAGCGCGTGGTAGTGTTACTTGTGTGAGGACCGGTTGTTGGTAACGAGAGTGCGCCACAGGTATGGGGCGTCCGGTTTTGTCTCGTTACAAAGTCCATCTATATTTTTGAAATTTCCATGAATTTTTTCCACTACTTTATGAAGTACATGTGTAAAACAAGTGTCTATTATAGTTGCTTTAAATAGTTTGTTCATTTTAATTTTTTTTTAAAAATCTAAAAAATGTACTGAAATATGCATTCATATTCTTGAAATACCAAAATAAGAAATTAAAACGCAAAATCATTAAGTATACGAAAATATGCAAAGTAAAAAAAGTACTATTTAATTCAGTAGAACATGAATTTTTAGTGTATAATTTTCAAGATATTAAAACTAATTCAAAGGTATTTATACCGTGAACATATTCATCATTATAGGTACGCACTGTGCTTATATAAATTCGTCCTACGGTATGTGATATATTGATATATATATGGCATAATATAATAACAATAAATTATTAATGAACACCTACCATGTTTTTCGAAAAATATTGTTTAGCCTATTACCAATACTATTATAAATAAACTAAAAAGAGAATGACATACTGTCTCCGTCAAGAATCGTTTTTCGTATAGGTACAATGATTATTATTGTGTTCATCAGTTCGTGTTCATCGCCCAACCGTGCACACGTCTGTTTCGTATATTATCACATTAATAGCTATGGTTAGCAGCAACACATTATTTAATTCAGCGTGCAGGTAATATGATTATCATTAATTACACCAATTAAATAATATCTCAAACTCAATGGGTGATAAGCCTATTTCAACTAACGATATGAACAATACCAACAGTCCTTCCCAGCATCCACGTAATAATAAAACATTTGCGGAGATAGCTTTATATACTACTTTACCTAAAATGAACCAAGCAACTGTTTTTGATTCTATCAATAACATCAAACAAATCGAGTATGTCACCGCAATCAGTAAAATTATACCCATTGGAAATATACAGTTTGTATCAAGTATCTCAAATAACAGATTTTGGGTCTTTTTCAATAGCCACGCCATTATGAAAAATTTACTTATCACTCAGTCATCAATTCATGTCGATGGAATAGAAATTCCAATTTGTAGACTTATAAACGCTTCTAAAAGATTAATTTTATCAAATGTTTCCCTACCATTCCCAATCAAGTTACAAATTTAACTTTAAGTTAAATTTAGTCAAGTTAAATTTTCCACTTGAAAGCTGGATTCGCAACAGAAAAATTTTCACATATATTAAGCTTCAAAAGACAAGCATACATTAAACAAGATATCGTGTCTAAACTATCAAATTCAATAACTGTGACTGTAGAGAACACTACGTTCAGAATATTTATTTCTGATGATACTAGGGGCGGCCCGCATTCATAAATAAATTATTCAAGTATTCAAAAAATAGACGAATCGAATTTGTATTATAAAATTGGTGTTTTCTTTTTATTATAAAGTTTTGTAAAATTATAACTTGCCCCCTCCCCCACACACACACAACCAAGGCTCTGGAGCCACCCCTGGATGATACAGTAACTTGCTTCCAACGTCACCAAACTGATCACTTATCTTGCCAATGTAAAAATATACCAGATCAAATTAATGTTATCGATGAGATCGAAACTGAAATGGAAACCATTATAGACTCATCACCAGCTACAAATGCAGAAAAAAAAGAATCTTTCTCGTTACCCATTGTCAATGCACAAAATACTTATATTATCAAAGATAGCGATATTTCATTATTAAACCAAGCAGTCGAGTGGCAATGTAACTTCTTGTGAGCAGCCTAAAAAACCTTCAATAGCTGAAAAACTTAGAATGGCAGCTAACCATAATACTAAAGTAACTTCTCTTCAGCTAGCTAAACGTCTAGCTACGTCAACTACAACTACGTCTCAGCCACCATCGCCAAAATCGTATCCTTCATCCAGCCCACCATCGACCATGAAGTCCCGCATTATCTATGCCCCCAACACACTCGATGGCCAAACTCAACCATCAAAAAACCCCAAAGGAAATGTAGAAAACTAAAAGTAGGGACTGGTTGTAGCTCCAGTGATACAGTACATATAAATATCGATGAATATTTAGATTACACTCAAGATCTGTTTAACAGACACCCGGATTTTTCCTTAACCTTTAACCAATTTAATGTACAAAATATGTATAATTGATAAAATCAAATATTTTTATTTGGATAATATTATATATATATAATGTATACGTATGACCAATTAAAAATATATAGGTAGTGCAAGTGGCAGCATAATATAGTCATTCCTCTGAATTAAACAAAATAATAGTGAAGTGAGAATTGTTTAATTTATTTATAAACAAAAATATTTTAAATAATTAAGCTGTTTTTAATTTTTTTTTTTTTTTTATAAATTAATGAAGTTTTGTACTGTGAATCACTTTATGGAAGAAATTATAAAATAATGGGTATAGTTTATAAATAAAGAACAATTTTGAATACTTATTAAATACAATGAATTAATGAAATACGTTGTTTTATTACCTAACTGATCAATAGTTGGTATAAACTTTAAAGAGAAATACAAATTGAAAATAAATTGAAATTATTATGATAAATCATGGGTCATTTTTATCTATATACAATAAATAATAAAAAAAGGCTAATAGTCATGTATTTTGGTAAACTAAAATTACCTTTGGATTGTTTAAAACAATAATATCCTGTAGTCTGACCGAACTGGTGTAGTGGAGTAGGGAATAACGTTTTCACCATTCATAACACACGAATATAAAGGTAATTAAAGGGTACCTATTAAATAAATTAAACATATTTCATATTATTACTTAGTCAGCTGGGAATCTGGGATGGAAATAAATAATTTTATTTGATTGAAGGAGAAAATATTTTACATTTATTTGCGATATGAAAATATTTAAATAAATAGAAAGGATAATATAACGTTATGTAGGTACGTACAAAATAGTGATATACCCGTAACTCGTAAGTTAATTTTATTATAGACCTTTTTACAAAGTTCTGCAACACAGTAATAAATTAGTCATGTAGGTACCCCTTTTGCCATAATATTATACGATACGCCGCACCATACAAAATTACATTGAAAAAATACTGGATATAGAGACAAGGAGTTTGGCACTATTCTCGCATCGTTTACTCCGATAAAGGATAATGCTGTACCATATTGATTATTATAAATTTGAAAGCATTGCTAATTCATTGCATCTGAAATGTAATTCTGAGCGGATATGATTTATAATACAATACTATTATATAGGTGTATATACCTTATTTCCGTAGAACTTTGTACATTGTAACTCGTAACTTGCAAGTCAAAATAGTCCGGAGGTTTAATAAATAGTTAAAACGTATAAAAACCAACTTTCATTAGGAGTTTAAAAACCATTTGACTGCATATTTTATCCAACAATAATCTGTCACTTTATAAATAATATAATATACAATCGGGGGACGAGGTGACCGAGTGGTCTGACTCTTCCGCTGCGACGCAGCCGGTCGCGGTTCGATCCTCGGCCACCGGGCGGCATTTTTCTCCGGACAAGTCGCGGTGACCGGAGAGCAAGTGCTGCCATCCCCCACCCCCGGGGCATGGCAGAAACCTACGGGTGCCCCATTCGAAATTCTGCCAAAACAAACACACACGTGTTCCCCCTACCGTTCCAAAAAAACCTACAAACCATCAATACAAAAAAAAAAACCTACAGTACCTACTAATAGCTAATGGCCACAGTTGCCGGGCTCAGGATCAATTAAAAAAAAAAAAAAAAAATATACAATCATAATTGTTCATAAAATACATTTTATAGTCGCATTTTAAATTTTAACTCTGTACCACCAGAATGCTAATGAACGATTGTCAATGTTTGAAAATAATGGAATATA